AATACACGCTTCACGGAGCGAACCATTCGCTCCCATATTCCACCAGCTGATGGATTTGCAGGGGTTTGAAATACCCAATCCACACCACGCTTTCCACACTCATCTGCCACATGTTGATCGATTAGTGCTAACTCCTCTTTACTGGCGCCAACAAAATTAGTACCCCTATCGCTCCTGATGCGGACAGGCACTTTTCGCCGGTTCATAAAATCCCTCAAGCATACTATTGTTGAGTCCGCCGATAAATCTTTCACGAGCTCGATATGTATTGCCCTAATAGGCCCACCTCTTCTCATGTAGCCGAAATAGTCTAGGCCCGTGTATGAGAAAGGTCTGATAAATGGAATAGGACGTTCTTCCGGCAATTGTCCCATAAGCGGTGGTTTTGCCTTGGCGGACATATTTTTGCACAGCTGACAATTTACCTTTGCTGATCAAACGAGCTGTCTTATACATGGTACCCAAACCTATCGACGAATCACTGAACAAATAGTCTCCTAATTTTGATGCTGCTACCGCTCATGAAAATGAAGTACAATCAATGTAGTTAGGGCGTGAACTTTCGGCAGAATTATAGGCCGCTTTGTATCTGCGGCAACACATTTTGCTCTATCAATACGACCTTCCAATCGTAAGACCATATCCTCATCAAGTATCAGGTGAGTCAATAAATTGTACTACTCTTTGGCAAAATCTTGCCGTCTGCCAATAAATGTATCTCTTCGCCGAAGACTTCTCTCTGAGCTAAGCGACAAACTTCGATTTCAGCGGTTTTTAACTCTGCTGCCGATAAAATCTGATGTAAGTTATTTTCTAAACGCGCTTTGCCTTTGTCCTTAAATTTAGCCATCGCGCGACTGACACAGCAGATCACATGACATGGCTGCCGCCCTGTGTACTCGGTCCAATACGCCTCTGTAAGTGGATTTTTCTAGAGCTGGCCACCATACCCATAGAAAAGGGTGGGTCAGACAACCGCCGTGTACATCCAGTGTATTATGTGTGGTTTCAGACCCACCGTTTCCCTACCGCTGCCTAACAGGCGTAGACGGCGGTAATGGCTTTCCTGGATAGTTCCATAAGGTTCCGCTTCCAGTCCAACTTCCTGTCGAGAATTTAATCTCGTTGGAGAGTGTAAGGTCCCTCTCGTTGCATGCCTGGTTATGGACGCACCCTCCAAGTCTGATGAGATAATTTTTCTTTCAAGGAGAAGTTTTATAAGCTCCACCAGAGGCCGCTCCAGCCCCACTTGGAAAAGTGAGCCCACAACGGCCTCTGGTAGAATATTGTTAAAGGGGCCCTCTATGTCAAGAAAGTTTCCTAAGGTAAATTGCTTAAATGCGAGTCCCTTTTCAATTTTGGACACAATTTCGTGAAGCGCAGTGTCCACGGATTTTCCCTTAGAATAGGCATGTTGAGTTGACACTCCGACACGTCCTCAGAAGAACGGCGCTGTCTTGGGCATCAAGAAGTCTTTCTAGAGTTTTAAGAAGAAAGGACGTTAGGCTTATTGGCTTGAAGTCATTGGGTTTGACGTGAGAGACCCTTCCTTCTTTCGGTATGGAGATTACCCTAGCCTTTGTCCTTCCTCTAGGAATGTGAAAAAGGCGAAGGCAGGCCTTAAAGATCGACGTCGACTCCCTGCTGAATTTCGGCAGGAAATATGCCATCCGGCCCCGGAGATTTATAAGGTTTAAAGGCCTTAGTCGCCCATTTCGCCTTTTCTTTTTGCATAGTCTACTGAGTGCTGTGGAAAATAAGTATTCTGATTAGGCGCGTCTGCCGTTGGTTGTGTTGCACACTCCGGGAAGTTGGTGTCCATAAGAACATCTAGTATTTCGCTGCAAGAGGAGGCCCATTCACCATCAAGTTTTTGGATATAGTTTGGGGTAACTGGAGTTTTAGATAGGACCTTCCGTGGTCGGTTGCCCGTCGAGGTTTTCTCAATGTTGCCGCAGAAAGGAATGTTCACTTAAAACATTCCAGTCCCTGGCTTACTCAAAGAGGTAGCTTGGGACTAGCGTCATTTCCAGAACTTCCTTTCTGTTAGAAGTTATAAACGTGGATTTATTTGAAGTGTTGAATATAAATAGATCAGAACTAAGAATAAAGTCGAGTAGCGACTCATCTCGTGGGTTGATGTCGCATAAAACATGGTGCGAGTTTGCATCAGACCCGATGACCATGGGAAGCTTCCTGTAGCCGGCCTCCTGCACCACGTCCTGTAGTCGATTTGGCGGAAAGTCGTGACATTCGTGCGCCATGTATGAGGACACTATCCAGATGTTTTCGGCCCCAGCTGCACGCTGACACAAACCGTATTCTCGTCACTGTACTGAGAGAGTAGGAAATAAGAAAGATAATTTTTAATAGAATACAAGGTCGAATCCTACCTGTGACTGGTGCGGAGACCACTTTGTAGGCGCCAGAGTCTAAACCGCAAACCTTGTTCTTGACGATCCAAGGTTCTAGGATAAGAACGAGCTCCTCTGCTTTATTGCCGAGATGTAGAAGTAGGGCAGCCGGAGACGCCTTAGAGTGGTGCAAGTTAATCTGTAGGACTTCCACCATTATCGGGGTCCGGTCCCCGTGGTGACACCTGGTAACGCCTTGGCGGCTAATTCGAGCGGCGACGCCTCCTAAATCCCTACACCTATGCTTCTCTTTCTGACCAAATTCCTTGCCAGTTCTTCCCTCCCTTCTCTTTTCAGCGCCGGATCAAGGTGTCATACGACCCGTGCCGAGAATCAGCCTGGCTGGGGGCCCTTCATCAAGCCCAGTCGCGAACGGAGTGCTCCGGATACCGGGCGACCTTCGGAGCCAGCTAGCCTTACCCGGGTACAGCGGATCTCTGCCCGGGCGGATGTTCCCCTTCTCCGCGTCTCGTGGGACAAAATATGGAATCACATCAACACATCACATCACAAAATTCAACTCCACGGGAGTCCGGCGCTCCGAAACAAAGGCCGAAAGGAGTCACAAACTCCGCACCCAGCAAAGCCACGGTACCACCGGGCCTAGCCAAAAGTAGCTCTATGCGAAGGCAACCCACCAAGATCGACGTACCGCGTCTCGAATCCTCCGTCGCCAGGCCACCTCACCGATTAGGGAGGATCAGGTCTCGGAGGAGGACTTCGTGAAGGTACAAGAGGACACAGAGTGGGCTAAGAAGTTATCCCGGACTTCGACCTTAACTTATACAAGAAGACTGATGCTGCAAAGCGTCGTGGAATAAGCCCCGGCACTGGCACCGAAAAGGGCCAAGACACAAGGTGCCTGGACTCGATCCTTTCCGGAGATAGCTAAGGACCGAAAGGTTATTGGATGAGATCAACGAAGAAGGCAGGATCCCGAGAAACCAATGGAGGTGGGTCGAC